AGTAATAAATCACAGCAATAGTACATTCATGTAGTTGTAAACAGCATGATAATATATTAAGTAATCCAAAGTATTCAGAATACATTTTGGGGCATGTATTCTGTAATCTGTAATGGAATACATTTTAAAAGTAACCTTCCCAACACTGATTGTATCTAGAAGTACTCCACCTACAGGTCAACTGTGAGCTCACCTTTATCCTGTTAGATGCATTAGAATAAATCTATAGGTTTTAACATGACGTTTTCAGGTCAGTTCAAAGAAATATTTTGCCCAGTTTCTAGTACTTTCTAATAGTTTTAAGATATTTGCTTCTGCTATGGAAAGAGTAGGAAATGGCAGGTAGCTCTTGAGCTCACTGGGGAACAAGTGCACAAATAACTTTATATTCAGTGTGCTTTACTGAGCTCCTCACAACTCTTTTCAGAAACTCTCCAAGTGCTTTAGGTTTCTTGGCTGCTGCTTGGCAACTCAAAGCTTTAGCTCCCTCCACAGATTTCCTATAGGACTCAGGTCTGGAGATTGGCCAGGCCACTCCATGGACTTGATGTGTTTCTTCTTTAGCCACTCCTTTCTTGAACTGGCGGTGTGTTTTGGAACATTGTCATTGATGACTCATCTTCAGAGTTCTGACTAAAATGAAGGAGGTTGTCATCCATGATAACACAGTGAATGGCCATGTTAACTGGCTCCTCGGTGTGGTGAAGTCATCCTCTAACTTAAGCAAAACAAACACCTCCATGCTTGACTGTAGAGATGATGTTCATTGGTTCATACTCAGCAATTCTGAATACTCGCACCAACAGGTTTTACCTTCCCACCAAGGTTCTTCTCACCTTTGTCCCCGATATCCCTGTTTTTATTTATTTATTTGTTTTTTTATTATACGAAGAATGATGAATTGATTGATTGCAATCTTTGTGCCTGATAGGCATACAGCCAATCTGTGACAGCCAGAACGCCGGCTGGGTTATAAGGGATCAAATGCTTATTCGACTCAGTGACATCGAAATCTGTTTTTCCAGAAATTGAGGTACTAGTGTGTTGTTGGCCATGTGCAGACTAAAGTGTCTAGATGGCACAGGAAACCGCCATTACACCCACATAATTAATTATCGATATAATCCCAGTAGTTTGTATGTTATATCTTGTCAATATACAGGTGAGTGTTTTTAAATTTCGACTAACAAACTGAAGGTTTTGACAGCACTACTGATTAACACCAGCGCTCATGGTTGACTACTTGGAAAATGCTGAGACAAATTGAAACATGACTTTAATTCATTCCATGTGAAGACTCAATAACAGTGAAAATGAACTGAGTCACTTCCTCTGAAATGTGACATCATAAAAACAAGTAGATGCACTGCCTTCGGTTGTCACTGTCTGTTGTGTGCTGCTTTCCTGGGAAAAGTGCTTTTTTTATGCCCCAATCTGCAGTAAATACCAGGAAATACATGCAGCTCAGGCCAGTAATGGCACTCATGCTCGGCAGTAAATTAATGTGGTTCAGAGGTTACGTAAATGTTTTATATACTTGGAGTTGCTGTTGACCGATTTGTCAGTGACACACGTGTGGGCAGTGTATGCTACTGCTGCTGCTTTAAAATGCCAATGGTGGTGCCAGTGTTGTAAACGGGGCTGTAAGCAGCAGAGAGAAGAAGGCTGTTTTGTGGTGTGGTTACCATTTTGGAGTCAACCCTCAATCCAGGAGTGTGAATCACATTCTTAATTAGAGAACGTAATCTAAACCACGTGTAAATAATTAGCCTTCGGGGTAGCAGGGCTGTTCTGATGTATACGAGTCTGTATTTTACATCCCATAAGTTGCCTGAAACAGTCCAACAGACAAGTCCACGCAGACTGAAAGGGTAATTAATAAGTGAAGACATAAACACGCACACACAAGAAGAAGTACTGTCTCTTTACTGATGCATTGTCTCATAAGTGTTGTTTTTGAAAGGGCTTCAATGTCTCTCCATCCATTCATTATACATGCACCGCACATCTGCCAAGCACCGAGCAGCAGATGGACAAAGTTAGCAACCATGTTGTGAACATAATGGAACATTTAGCCTTTAAATAGCTAATTATTTCCATTAGGAGCTGATGAGAACTTAAACCTACATAGAAGGGAAAAGTGGAAATTGATCTTTGGCTCATCAGGTAGAGACATAAAAGTAACCTTTCTATACTTTTCTATCTTATTGAGGGGCAGTCAGAAACTAAATGGATACCACTGAATCTATTTATCCATTGTTTTATATGCTAACTGCTGCTGTTCGGGGTCACAGGGGGCTAAAGCCTATCCCAGCTGTCACTGGGCAACAGTTGGGATACACCCTGGAAATGTGGCTATTCTATCAAGGGGCGTGACCACACATGATTTTCTTTCACAATCCTGGCCTTGGTTGTCTCTTTTGAACTTTCACTGAGCAATCCAACATGCTAGTAAGTTATGGTCAGCGACACCAAAATCCAGAGCCATAAAATAGCTCATTTACCAAAGCGCCCCTCTCTTAACATCATTAAATTCCTTTGCAGAAACGATACAGGGCTGGAAGCTTAAAGCAAACCGTGGCAGAAGCTAAGAGAAACTGATATCAAGCATGTGAGGTCTTAAATATTTTCAAGCGTGTGTGTGTGTGTGTGTGGTTTAAACTGCCTTTCAAAGATAACCCAAGAGAAACAAACATCACAATCAACAGCAAAAAAGTGATTAATGACTGTGACTGCTCCAAGAGTGCATCAGGTCCATGTTATTTTCTTTGAAGACTGCAGCTTTTCCAGCAGTTGAAATAATTTGTATTTTTATCATAGGGCCAATACTGGATACATTTGAAAGATTTTTGTCTCTAAATACAAATAACATTATTTAAAAAAAAGGGCTTCCAACAATAAAATACAAAGCTTTTTCACTTTGAATGCTTTTCAAAGTGACATCTAGCCAATCAGTCCCTCAGGGAACAACAGTCTGATTAAGATGAAGTTTTCTCTTTTGCTCTTTTTTGTTTTTATTCTACTTAAAAGGACCTGAGCACACTGATGCCACTGATGAGTTGTTTGATGAAGGACTAAAGACATTCCAGGAAGCATAATTCTTGAATAAGGAGATCTCCTTTTGTGCCAAGACATGTGGCTTGGACTACGCTCCCCTCCTAATTTGCAATCCCTCTTTGTTCCTTGCTCTGTCTCTTTCCTCTGCGTCTCCTATTAAGACTCATCCTCTAATTATTTGTCTTCTTTGGTACTGTACTGTGTGTTGTCGTCACATAGCAGCAAAATTGTGCAGGATACAAGCGGGCAAGAACCTGCGTGCATGCAGTATTTTCTATGTAAACCGCTCTTGCCAAGTGTTTTCTGGTCTGAAGACTCGGGACAAGAGAAAAAAGCGAGTCTACTCCCTTGTTCATGATAAGAAGGCAGTCTAGTCTCCTGTTTATTATTTCACACTGTGCAGTCGCCATTAGGGCTGAAAGATTTGCATTCATCTTTAATCGATATATCAGGAAAAAAAATCACTTTCCCTGGAACTATTTGTTCTGACTGAAGGTATTTACTTTTACACTTCCAAGAATGTTATTAGCACTTTTATTCATTCAGGACCTCCGCAGTGTTATTGTGAGCTCTGGTTCATCTAATTTCCCTTCAGTAAATTAGAAGCAGTTGTTACTCCCCAGTGCTAGCCGAGCATGATCAGAGATTTTTCTTGTATCAGTGAAAGTAATATCGAAGCAAAGCACAGGTGGCTCTCAGACGTTCCTGTGATTCCACATTCTCTCTCCAAGAATGAAAATATCACACATGTGCCAACCTCTAAGGGAGTGATGGCAAAGTGTTAAACCTCAATCAGAGAAGTGTCCGTTTCATATTATTCCTAAAAGTTAATTCTGTTTATCTAGGCATAGGGTTTTCAGTCGGAGAAACATTTAATCACGTCCCTTATCTGAGTGACTTTTTCCAGTCTCAGCTGATCAATGGTCATGACAATTTGCATATTAATGATCGAGAAACGGACTTCCTTGTGTTTTCCTTACCTGGATAATTGAGCATGCATCAAGACATTGTGCTTTATTCTTTACAGGGTACCCATGTATCTGTCCAAATGATGGTAAGATTTTTCACATGCAATTAAAAAGTTAAACCACATGCACAGGAATGCAGTACTCTGGTGAGTGTTGTTTGACATTTTGACAATTAACTGATAAGACTGTATAAACAAGTGTGTCTGTGTGTTCTACAAACAGCAGCACTGCTTTCTTCTGTCACTAATGCTACGCTGATCCCTGCTCCTCAACCATCTGCTCCAAAAAGCCAAAAGGTTTGGATTTTCTGCGGTGGTCTGTGATGGTTGGGAGATGTCGCGGCTCTTGGTGCTCTGCGTGTTTGTAGCCATCTTCAGCTACGTTTCTGTTTCTATAGAGGTTTGCACCAGCTCCTTGATACCAGGAGCTAAAGGTAACGCATTGTGGCGCTGTTGTAAATGTGTGTGTTTGCATTTTGACTGGATGTCAGCTCGATTTGTAAATGTTTATCTTTGCATAATGAAGTCTAAAATGTTTTCAACCTAAAATCAACAGTACTCATGTACTTTGTACTCATGTTTGTTCATGATGTTGGAAACGTTGTGTCCCAACATTACAGGAGAGTGTTAGAGTGTGAGAGTGCAACGTTCTGAGGAAATACCCCCTAAATGTTTTATAGTTTAAAGAGCTGATGATAAAGCCACCAAGCATTAAATGTTCTAAAGTTTACTAGCTCACTGTCTGCTACCCCGCGGTCTTTTGGAGGGAATGCCTCCCTGTGTGTGTTTTCCATTTTATGACATCCAGTGGCTTGCTCCCCTGCTGATTGAGACAGACAGACCCTAATAAAACACAAAGTGAAGCTATGCTTTTTTTTTTCTCTTTCTTTTTTTTTTGCGCACTGTGCTGGAAAAAAAACGGCCTTTATTGTAAATGGAAGCCAGAGGCCTGTCTCTCAAGGAGCTGGCATGCAGAAACTGAGATTGTTAAGCTAAAAGGCAAAAATTTAAAAGATTCTCTCATTGTGACAATAAAGGCCATTTATTAAGTTGTTGAAGTTTTATTATATCCAAAACAAAGTCTGTTTTACAAAAGCAGCTTCTGAAATAAAGATAAATTATGTTTGTCATGGGCAAAGGGAAGAGGCGTCTGTACCATCAGTTACACTTTCACAGCTTTCCAGAGAAGTTTCCCATTGTTCCATCGTGATATTGTGTATTTAGACAGCTGCCACAAACGCGAACAGATTATTTGTACAAGACTCATCCAGATACTACTCACCACAGAGGCAGTCTCTTGAGTTTGTGTAGACTCACATCTGTGTATTTCGG